GAACCCAACAATATTTCAATTACGAGTCATATTTATATTCCACCTTTTCTCTGATGAACTCAAAGCAAACACAAATGGCTCTCCTTTCCACCTCCAGTTTCTTTACCCCTGTAACCCCATAATGCCAGAAAAACTGAAGAAGAGGGAGAACGGAACATGGTCATCCAGGACATTTGGACTTCTTGAGTCCCAATTGGGACACCTTACCCATTACTCCCACTGTCCCTCCACAGTCTTCCATCCCTAAGACCTGAAGTCCATCTCAACCTACCACATCCACCGATGCCACTTTTTTCTGACTTCCAGCTGAAAAATATATTGCTCAGTGTCTTGGTTCTTACATCCTTGTGATGGTTTTTCTATAGGCTCTGGGGATAGGAGTATCACTAGCATACCCTACTGCAGCTATATATGTATGTATGTACAGTGGTGCCTCGCTAGACGCTTACCCTGCATGACGACGAAATTACTTGACGATGACTTTTTTATCACTATAGGCAAGCAATATATCACTAGCATATGCTACTGCAGCTATGCCCCGCTAGACGCTTAACCTGCATGATGATGAAATCTCTTGACAATGACTTTTTTATCACTATAGGCAAGCAATCGCAAAACAATGTTTCCTATGGGGGGGTTCGTTTAACAACAATTAGGTCCATGCTTCACAAACCAATTGTTCGCAAAACGACAATTTAAAAGAGCTGATCGGCGGTTCGCAAAACGGCTCCCCGCTGTTTTCCGGGTTTCGTTTAACAACAATTAGGTCCGTGCTTCGCAAACCAATTGTTCGCAAGATGACAATTTAAAACAGCTGATCGGCGGGTCGCAAAATGGCTCCCCACTGTTTTCCGGACCGATTTTCACAAGACAGCGATCACAAAATGGTCACCCTATGGAGGATCTTCGCAGGACAGTCAGGTATTTCCCCCACTGGAACGCATGGCGACGATTTCGCTATACAGCGATTTTAACGGCATGGATTATCGTCATCATGTGGGGGACCACTGTATGTATGTACGTATGTATGTACGTATGTATGTACGTATATATGTACGTATGTATGTACGTACGGATGGATGGATGGATGGATGGATGGATGGATGGATGGATGGATGGATGGATGGATGAAAAATCAGAGTGGGATGTTTTAAAAAAAATCTTTTTGTATACTTATTTATCTTTGTCTTAACTCACTGAGATATCTGATCCTTCAAATAGTCTGGACCTGTTCAGAGCTTTATAGGAAATAACCAGAACTTTGAGCTGAGCCCAGAAACAGACGGGTGGCCAAGAAAACTTTTGTAGTAAAGGAAATCATCAACACCAGTCGGCAGTCTGGCTGCAGAATATTGACCCAGCTGAAGTTTCCAAACACTCTTCAAGAGCAGCCCCACGTAGACTGTGTTGCATTGCAGTAATCCAGACGAGATGCCACTGAGCCATGTGCCCCACCACATTCTGCTATCTCAGAATGCCCAACTAACTCCAACTATTCAAACACACAACCTTGCAGCTTTCAACCCAGCGACAGCCCCCAAGTCTTCCACTGGCTGAAGTTGCACAATAGGCAGCCGTTAACATAAAATGGACTGGAGCAAAATCAAAGGCATTGACTTCCATTCTTCTACAATTAGCTCTACAGTTAAGCTTTCTTTAAAAGGCAGGGAAGGAGTGAGGGAGCGAGGGAGAGACCTGCACACACAGGATGCCTTCAACTGTTCACAATTTCCGTAACAGCCCCAAGGAAGGAGGCTCTGCACTTATTGACACAAGGATTATTATGACATTCTATTCAATAGTGTTAATCGCCTCGGCTTAATCAACCTATTAGCAAGTAGCAACAGTTTATGAAAAGTTCCCTTGGATTCGCAACGCGAACGGGTTACCCGCCACGTTCAGCTTTTCGAGAGAAACACAAGGCAACTATTGATCCAACTGCGCCGAGTAAACCGGGAGACAAGAGAACTTTTGTCCAGGTTAGCGCTATCATATAACCGCACACCGAGGACGCATTCTGCCAGGTGCGCTGCGCCGGCTCAGAAGATCCTGAGGTCCTGGGGTTCCCAATCAGGTCCAGAGAAACAGAAAAGAGAGCAGTATTTCTCAGGAAGCACTCAGCACCTTGAAAAACAACCTCCTGATTTAACGAAAGCCTTCTTTTTTTTTCAGGGGGGTGAATGAAGAAAACCCTTCACCTAAGTGGCGTTTCCAGTTACAGACCTCATAAAGGATAACAATTTACATAGGCACTGAAGTTCAACCTCCTGCAATAGCTGGGGAAAAAGCCACTCACTTCTAAAGTGGTCTTTTTTAAGAAGTGGAACCCCTCCTTTCTCTTCCACAAAAATTCCATTAATGTATTTGCACACACCCCTTGTTACCTTTTATTTCAGTCCCCTCCCTCCTCCATTTGTTCCCTGGTACCGGCCTTAGGCTCAGCTGTTCCCCTACACCACCTCTCTGTAGTATGTTGTGACAATACTCAGGTAAAGGTAAAGGTTCCCCTTGACAATTTTTGTCCAGTCGTGTTCGACTCTAGGGGGCGGTGCCCCTCCCTGTGTCCAAGCCATAGAGCCAGCGTTTTGTCTGAAGACAATCTTCCGTGGTCACATGGCCAGCGCGACTTAGACACGGAACACTGTTACCTTCCCACCGAGGTGGTCCCTATTTATCTACTCGCATTTGCACGCTTTCGAACCGCTAGGTTGGCGGGAGCTGGGACAAGCGACGGGCGCTCACTCCGTTGCGTGGATTCGATCTTACGACTGCTTGGTCTTCTGACCCTGCAGCACAGGCTTCTGCGGTTTAGCTTGCAGCACCACCACGTCCCACAATACTCAGAGATACGGCTATTTTAGTTCATAATGCCTTGCTGCGAAACCAAGCAAACCAACCTTGCCATGTTCAACAGAGCTCTTGGCTATGACCTCCAGAAGCTTTATTTAAAAAAAGAAGGTAATATTTCCAGGCTAATCAGTGTGGAACTCATTTTTCCAAACTTAACAGCAAAAACGAACAGGTGAGTAAAATATTCCTTAACTGGGGAACGTAGAAGTGCAGCAGGACCCCATTATCTGCGGGATCAGTATCGACTGATTCACTGATCCATGCTCTGAAAATACGAAAAGAAAAATCCTAGATGTATTTCTAAAGATGCTGTTCTCAGAACTGTGCATTGGAGAGAGCCAGAGACCACCCTATGCACAGCATTTGCTCTTAAAATAGCGTTCAATGTAATCCGACTTTTTCAGTATCTGTGGGATGGCTTGGAGCAAGTCCCCCACAGATATGGGGGTCCCATTGTAGTGGAGTTTGGGAAAGGTACTCATTAGACCTACTGCTCCCAGATTCTGAGAGTCGCAGGGGAAAAAAGGGAGGGGGCTTCCGAAGCTCTGCAGATTGTAGAAATTTGATTTTCAAAGGTTCCCCAATTCATGGGAGGCTCCCATGAGCTAAAGAGGTTCTCCAGATGATTGTTCTCGACACAAGGAGAGCGACAGGAATTGAGGTGGAGCCGGTACTCATTTTTTTACTCTGAAGACCTGGAAAGATCCCCAACAGAGAAAGGACAGCTGAAAAACCAGTTAAGAACTGGAACAAGCTTGAGTTTGGCAAATCAACCCAATGAAAAGACATCAGATCATAAAATAACCAGAACTACCGCTGCAACTATTACTAATATAGCCCTTTACAGCTTTGAGAAGAGGCATCGGGGAGAATGTGATGAACAAAGATGACTCAACTTCCAGATATAAAGATCTCAACTGTTTTCAATTTGTTGAGTTAATTATAGCAAAAATTCAGTCTATTTAAAGTGCTCTAAGTAAGGTCAACAACACTGATGTTTTCCCTCCATCTGTCTCAGAGACTTTTTCTCCCACCCTGACCCTTGATATCCAAAAAAGACAGAAGGGGTTTTAAAAAGTGATTATTAATGATAATCATCATGTGCTATCAAGTCTGTTCTGACTTAGGCAAACCCTTTCCAGGGTTTTCAAGGTAGAGAATATTTAGAAGTACTGTATTTTTCGCTCCATAAGACGCACCTTTCCATAAGACGCACCAATTTTTTAGGAGAAGAAAACAGGAAAATATAATCTATTTTCTTTGCTCCATAAGACGCACAGACTTTCCACCCTCCTGTTTTGTGGGAAAAAAGTGTGTCTTATGGTGCGAAAAATACGGTGGTTTACCATTCTGGGGGCACCCTGGAACTGTGCAGCTTGCCCAAGGCTACCCAGGCTGGCTGTACTTATTGAAGGCCCAGTGGGGCAATCAAACTCCCAACCTCTGGCTCCACAGCCAGATAGCTAAACCACTAAGCTATCCAAAAGTGATCAGGCAGGTTGAAAAACAAAACATAACCTGCCTTTACATAAGACATGGGAGAACTGCTAACTAGAGAGGGGAGCTTCATGTTTGTATCCTTGGGAACACGAATATGAAGCGAAGCACCTCAGGTGCCACGAAGGTCCATTCCCTTCCCTCCAGAACCTGCACAATCCACACACCGGGCTCCATGCAGTGCGCGCATCCACTGACTGTGACATCGGGCCAATCAGAGAAGTCATCCAACCTGCCTCTCAGTGCAGCTGACCACTCCGGCGAGGAGGCGGGACGGCGAGTCTCCCCGCGTAGCTGTTCAGTGGTCGGTTGTGTGGGGAGGCAGGGAAAACCCAGTTGGGTTAATTCCGCCAACAGAATTTGCAAGTGCTGCCTGGTGAGTGGACTGGGATGGTTCTGGGGTGAGGGAATGGATCTCTGTGGTGCCTGTGGTGCCATGCTTCATATTCATATCCCGAGGAACATAAGTACAAAGTTCCCATCTCTACTGCTCAGACACTGAAAAGGCAGTCAACCAAGGACATCTGCCAGCTTCAAATACTTTTTTTTTAAAAAAAAAAAATTACACACACACCACTAAAAGCAAGACTGGAATTCTTTCCCACCACACGTCAAACACCGTTTTGCCTTAGTCTTCGCTTCACCTCACCCACCTTCACGGCAAGAACTGTAGACAGCCACGGTTGACCTTTCAACCAGATTTTCGTCATGGTGCCAGCTCACAGCCATCTTCCCCATCCCAAAATAAGGCTCCTGTTTCAGGAACGGCATTCGCTGCGGATCCATATAATTCAATAATGTCAGGTTGTAAGACGTTCTCTCCTTCAGATCGGCACAGTCGTTCTTCGGGACGTGAACGGCGCTTTGATCCGGAGAAGCACACCCCGACTCTGTAACGGGAGCAGCCTCCTCTTGAAGCTTCTCAGTGACAACAGAATCTTCCGTTCCTTTTGTCTCGGACAAATTCTGTTCTTGCAAAGCCAGGACGGTTTCTCTGCGCAAGTGCTCATTAAGTTTGATTAATGCCTCGCAAGCCTTGGATATTTCAGGATGGGAATAATTTATTTCATAACCTTCCACCGGCCAGGGGACCGTAAATAACCTCGTGTTCAAATATTTGTAAGTATATCCCGGGTTTCCAATTAATATACGAGATACAGGGGTAACAAAATCTTTCCCTTTGATCCTCACGAGGTCTTGGAAGAGACAAACGTGCTTCTGCAGCAACCCAAATGCTTCTTGAACCTCTCTGTGGACATCTTGTGGGATCCACTCCGCATTTCGGAGGATAAGTTTGGAATATTTTGTCTTCCACTAAAAAAGAGGGAAGAAATCACATTAGATGTGTTTTAATGTTAATAATAATCACGTGGCATCAAATCAATTCTTGGACTATGCAGATTGCCCAAGGCTACACAGGCTGGCTCTATTCGCAGGAGGCACAGTGGGGAATCGAACTCCCAACCTCTGGCTCCACAGCCAGAGACCTTAACCGCTGAGCTATCCAACCAATATTGGACAAATGTATACCTGAAATCCACAACTATGATCCCCTGGATGAACATCAGCATCCAGGCTCAGCAGAATTGGGACCTTCTTCCCTTCTCTCAGGGGCTGAAATCTTCTTGCTTAGCTAGTCAATTACACTAGAAGAAGCCATTCAGTCAGTTGGGATTTAGTGAGTTGGCTCCTTTGTTAAGTCCCATGGATTTGAACGAGCCCACTCCAGTTGCATCTCATTACACTGAAGTTAAGTTGAAACCATTTGAATCCATGGAAGACGTGATTCACTAAAATCCCTACTGCTCCAATGGGCCGACTCTAGCACAACTTTAACCATGTTAAGCAACAGGATTTCAGCCCATGCTCTAAAACATTCTGGCTAAAATGCCCTTGTGGTTAACCTTGCATGCAAGAGCCATTACAGAGTGACCTCCCCACAGCCTGTCTTTCACACAACTGGTGGTGCAGCCCATTTGACAACCAGTGCGTGATCGGGCGGATGAAGTGGGAGAGAAACCATCTCCCTGACAGCCATTGCACTGCTGTTCCTGCGACAGAATGATGCTCCCTGTTTTTTCCCCCCCAAAGATGTAGAGTTGACATTTGATCCACGAGGCCTCCATTTACCTTACCACAACCTGATTCTACAAACACTCCCATGATGGACACAGTTGTCGAAAGCTAAATATGGGTCCCTGGCTTCTAAAAGTTGGTAGGCACTATCATAGAAGATGACCTTGGTGGAGGGAGGACCCGTCTTTCTGCTGGACTCATTTCCCACTTTGTGTCCAAGATGACCCCAGGGCTCATGCGGACCTCCGCCACAACGGGAGCTGCTGTATGAAGCTGCCCCCAAAGAAGGAATGAGACCATTAAGATGAAGAAAGAACACAACAACATACCCCAGGAAAAAGAGGACAGTACATCTGTTCCAAAGCCCTAACATTTCACTTCCCTGTTAAAACTGGGAGCTAATGCATTCCACATTTTAATGCCAATCTAATGAGTTGCACGTTACCTTTTGGCTTACGAACTGAAAGATTACATGTTTCAAAAGCATTTTATCAATATATCTTAGATGGTGTCTGCAGGGTTTCTGTCCTTAAAAGAAGCCATAAAAGAGCATGTGTGTGCGCACCCCCGTGCATTTTACATTGGCATCTCATTTTTGGGGTTTTTTTAAGGTTTTTTTTTTTATAAAGAGGGGGCAGAAAGAGGAAATGGAAACACATTTCCAACACATCATCTGAGAACGCCAGTCCGTCTTCTCTAATTCTCCAGCCAGTCCTGCTATGTCCTACATAAGGAAAGCATTAAGAGATCAGAAGACAAAGAAAGAAGAAAAGAAAAGGATGAAGGGGGGGGGAATACACACATGCACACGCCGTGAAGCACACACTGGCCGCTTATATTGATTGAAGGAGCCAAAATCTTGTCGTTTGCGCTGTACCTTTGACAGCTAATTTGAAAGGTCAACTCGTTGGTTGGGTAGATAAAAGCAATCCCTTTGCATAAGTGCTGGTCCAACGCATACAAAACATTTCATGCTTCATTTTTTTAACACACCCATTATCCTCCAATAGAAATTAACGTGCCTGCAGCACATGCACTGGAACCAGGACGGGCTCATTCTCCATCAAGTCCAGTATTACTTCCTCTAACTGTAAAGGCATTTTTCCTGCTTTGCCTATTCATTCATTCATTCATTCATTCATTCATTCATTCATTCATTCATTCATTCATTCATTCATTCATTCATTCATTCATTCATTTGAGTTATACACTGCCCTGTAGCGCTTGGAGCACTCTCTGGATTCACAACATAATTAGGCAAGGAGCACTTTGACCCCCACAGCAAGCTGGATGCTCATTTAATGACCCTGCAAGGATGGAAGGTTGAATGAACCTCAAGCTGGCTACCTGAACCCGCTAGGATTGAACTCAGGTAATGAGCAGGGGATGGACTGCAGTACTGCAATTTAACCACCGTGCCACAGGTGCCTACACATCCTGGGGGTTAGAACTCTTGATTCTCAAGTGCTTAGTGTTTGTACGGGTGTTGCATTTGGTGGACCTTGAGGATCTCGCGAAAAACCAAATTGGTCCCATCTGTCTAAAGTCTGCTGTTCCCTGGCCTAGACCGACAGCCTGTAGCTCACCAAAATTTCAGAGGATAGGTCTGAGGCCAGCATCTGAAGCTTCTGAGAACTGGCAAATGTCTCCAGGTCTCCCGGCAAGAATAAAAAATTCAAGCCCAGTACTGCCCTGCAAAAACTGGAAGAGCCCAAACTACTGGCCAGTGGTACAGAACACTTCTAAACTACTTACGGTAGCATTAAATATCTATACATGAAATCACACAAGGCAGCAACAGCACAAATCAGCATTTGAACCCTATGACAGTCCTCCACAATTTAGTGTGGCTTAGACAACTGTAGATACAGAAGCAATTAAAAAAATCACACAAGGCAGCAACAGCATTTGAACCTTACGACAGTCCTCCATGATTTAGTGCGGCTAGACAACTGTAGATACAGAAGCAATTAAAAGGTCAGCTATGCTGCAAAAGGGGTGTGTACATCCTTCTCTCTGATCCACTCGGAATGTAATTTAGTTATCCTTTAGTATGTGTGGGTTGTTGGATAGCTCAGCGGTTTAGGTCTCTGTCTGTGGAGCCAGAGGTTGGGAGTTTGATTCCCCCACTGGGCCTCCTGTGAGGAGAGCCAGCCTGTGGAGCCTTGGGCCAGCTGCGCAGTCTCAGAAGAATGGTGTGGCAAACTACTTCTGAGCACTCTATATCTAGAAAACCCTGGAAAGGGTCACCAGAAGTCAGAATTGACTTGATGTCACACAATTACTATTATTAGTATGTGGGGGAAATTTAATCACAAGCAGAGATGTGCAGAGTCGTGGTTTTTTTGCTGGGAATTCTGGAAAGGTAAAGGTAAAGGTTCCCCTTGACAATTTTTGTCCAGTCGTGTTCGACTCTAGGGGGCGGTGCTCATCCTAATATGTGGGGAGAATTTAATCACAAACAGAGATGTGCAGAGTCATGCTTTTTTTGCTGGGAATTCTGGAACCTGTAGGCTAAAAAGACAAGTCTCCGCAACTCCAGTTACAAAGAGCAATTTGCCGATAGTGAATTGACGACTACGCTTCAGCAGTTTAGCCCGCAGCGCCACGACATCCCTCGTATTCTGGGGAATTCTGGAACCTGTAGGCTAAAAAGACAAGTCTCCGCAACTCCAGTTACAAAGAGCAATTTGCCGATAGTGAATTGACGACTACATTTTGATGCAAAGGATATGCTCCGCTGTCGAACTGCTCTTTTCTTGAAATACAGTGGACCCTCGACTTACAGACGGCTCGACTTACAGACTTTTCGAGTTACAGACTTCTCTGGCTGCAAAATTCGGATTCGACTTGCAGCCAGAGAATCGACCTACAGACCAGAAAAAAACCAAAATGGAACAAAAACGGCCGGTTACAGGATTAATCGGTTTTCAATGCATTGTAGGTCAATGGAGACTCAACCTACAGACTTTTCGACCTGCAGCCACCATTCCAATACAGATAGTAGAGGGTCCACTGTACATAACACTATCTAAAAGTTTTGTGCTTTTTAACATAAAAAGAAGTACGAATTTCAAATCAATTAAAAAAAAGAAAGAACGAAGGAAAAGGGGAACTTGGAGCAAGGAGGCAATGATACTATTCCCCCCCCCAAAAACAACCCATACTATTTTGTATGCATCTTTCGGCCACATGTCAATACAAGAAGGTTGACATGGCTATAATGTAGAAACTCCTGAGAAGCTGTTCAAACTAAGTAAGAGATTCCTTTTTATGTCTTTCATCTCACTCAATGTGTTCCAACTTATTTTGACTGAACTCGCACGGGTCTCTCCAGATGTTTCACATTTGGTTGGAGTGTTGTCGAAGGAAGACTCAGCGTTGTCTTTCCGTTACTTCAACAACACCCCCTCACTCTACCAGTTTGGATTATATTTGTGCGTCTCGTGATCGAAGCTGATTTTTCTGCTCCTAATAAGAGTCATGCTATGTCCTCGTCAACCCCAAATCACACGATTCTCCATCAAATTCCTTTTTCTTTCCCCCCCCCCCCACACACATGTATTGTTCACCTCCATCAAGTCGCTTCTGGCCCTTAATCTGGCAGCGTCTTAAAAAGCAGAGACATCACCTTGCCGACAAAGGTCTGCATAGTCAAAGATATGTTTTTTCCAGTAGCAATATATGGAAGTGAGAGCTGGACCATAAGGAAGGCTGACCGTCGAAGAATTGATGCTTTTGAATTGTGGGCCTGGAGGAGACTCTTGAGAGTCCCCTGGACTGCAAAGAGAACAAACCTATCCATTCTGAAGGAAATCAACCCCGAGTGCTCACTGGAAGGACAGATCCTGAAGCTGAGGCTCCAATCCTTTGGCCATCTGATGAGAAGAGAAGACTCCCTGGAAAAGACCCTGATGTTGGGGAAGTGTGAAGGCAAGAGGAGAAGGGGACGACAGAGGACGCGATGGATGGACAGGGTCATGGAAGCGACCAACATGAATCTGACCAAACTCCGGGAGGCAGTGGAAGACAGGAGGGCCTGGCGTGCTCTGGTCCATTAGGGTCCCGAAGAGTTGGACATGACTAAATGACTAAACAACAACAAGGTGTTCGTGGAAGTGTTCATCACTGCCATCATTCATCCCTAGTAAATTGCCATGGCCGAGCAGTGATTTGAACCCAGGTCACCTGAATCCTAGTCCAATGCTTTTTCCACTACACCTCATTAGCGCTTACCCATACACTCTCCCACATACACATGGATTAAAATGCAGAATTTAGACCACAGTAAGTTCCAGTAGGATATAAGAATAAAACATGTTTGTTGCACTGAGCAGGGGGTTGGACCTGATGGACTTATGGGCCCTTTTCAACTCAACTAGTCTATGATTCTATGATTCTGTAACATGACACTACTATCATCAGGCCAGCAGAGCAAACAATGCTTTGGGAACACAAAAAGTGCTAGCTCTTCCCGAGTGATACCTTTCCATTTCCAAAGACAAGAGATAGGAATGTGTGACAAAAATAAGTGTGCATTCATTTAAAAAATGGAGAAGAAACCATACTACTCACATTAGATTTGCAATGAAATATAGGTGTATGTTTTCATTTTCTCTTTTATTTCACCTGCACTGGCCAGACAATTTGGTGGAGAGCTAGTAAGAAAATGACCCAAAATTTCACACTGTTTGGGTGGAAAACAACAAAGATAACAAACATAGGAAGAATAAGTTTGGGATTCCAATGAAAGCAATGAGGAGCTTACAAAATGACCTCCCCCTTGTTTGATATTCTCTCAAATCATGGCATTTTGTTCAAATCATCTCAAATATGGCAAGTCTGAGGCTCAGCGAGAGTAGCTGAATACTTAAGAGGTTTGCACCCTCTGAAAGGAAGAAAATGACAGACAGAAATAAATAGGTGGGTCTCCGTTGAAATAAATTTTAAAAAAGAGGACGGAATGAAGGGAAAGAAGAGGTTCAATTATAAGCAACGCCATCTGGTTTTGAAAAATGTTGGCAAAGCAAAAAAGTTATACTTACTCACATACACACATCTGAAATAGAAACTGAAAGCTAAGTCCAATATCCTGTTTGACTTGCTATGCATGGGGGGGAAATATTTTAAATAAATTCAATAAATAAACCCCAAAAGTGATTTTCTCCTTCTTCTCCTCCGTCCAGCATTTGCCCAGCAGTACAACAACTGTGTGGCTGGGAACGCAACAGACACTAAACAAACCTTTGGGGGTTTCAATGTCCCTCCATCTAGAAGCCGCCCTAGATCTGTGTACTTGTTCTGTTCATACCCTGCCCTTCCTCCATCAGAGTCTTGAGCAGCTCACCTTTATCGTAAAGACCCAGTTGAAATCACAACTGACAACTAAGTACAAACACAAATCCACGAGTCACTCATCTCACACACCTAGCATGGCAAATATCTAATATTACACAATAAAACATTTTCTAAAAAGTATTGTAAAATGAATTATAAAAACCTGGAGTAGTCAAAAGAACTCAGAACACTTCCTTATTCCTGAAAATATTGTTTGAAAATATATACGTTTTAGCCAGTGTCTTCAAGTCAAAATTATAGGGGACAAACAGATTCATAAGTTTCGTAAGTGGGGGGGCTACCAAGAAAGTCCTACCACGTCTGGCAACCCTACAGCTGCAGTACTACTGAACACCATAAGGATGCCTTCGATAATGAATGGGTCAGCTGGTCTTTTAGGTACCTGAGTCATAAGCCAGGTAGGGCTTTGCAGCATGGCAGCTGTAAAATCTGGATTTCGGCTCAGTGACTCATTGGTAGCCAACAGAGAGACTTCAAAATGGCTCCCCGTTGGACTTCATACAGTCATACAACCCAACAGATACAGAATTCGAGAGGCGGGTAAGCGGATTGCCATTGGCCATCTTTCAAGAGTGGTCTGTCTACAGTTATTGCTCTTTCCACCCTTGAAGCCGCCGCCATTCCGAGGGCTGTCCCAAACCCATTTCTAAAAAACCACCGCCACCACAAAAACACCCTTGGCTGTTCTTCTGCAGCACTCCCCCTCCTTTTTTGTCCAGTCGAAGCAATGCATTGAGGAATTCCAGATTTGAAAAACAAAGGAATCAAGAAAAATAAATAGTTAAGCTGCTAGAAACATCTCTTTCACCCATGCAGCACGGCTCTTTGTAAGCGTTAGTGCATAAGACCTTTGCAAGTTTTTGTGTGTGGTATTTGTTTATTCTTTTGAAATATTTGCACACTTACTGTATTTAGCTTCTCAATGTTGTTTTTAATGACGTAAGCTGCCTTGGGTCCTTTTTAAGGAGAAAAGGGGAGGGGGGGTTAAAATAAATAAATTACCAGTTGGTGGAAGCCATCATCCTTCGGTGTCAGATACGGAAGCTGGCTCTGTCCAAGTTCATTGAGGAGCTTCTGTTTCTGAAAGTGCAAAAATAAACATTTTACATTGAGTTATACAAGAAAAATCCAGTAGATTTGCACACCGTTTGTACTCATACTTAACACAATACTCCCTTCTGTCTCCGCACTTCTTTCCTTCTTGCTATACTTCCAAAACTATCAGCACTTTTAGACCATTGTTTCCCAATCTGGAGTTCCCAGATGTTCTTGGACTGCCAGTCCCAGAAGCCTTCAGCATTAGCTATGCTGCCAACGGCTTCTGGGAGTTGCAGTCCAAGAACGTCCGGAGACCCAAGGTGGGGAAACCACTAATTTAGACCTAAGTCAGTGGTTTGGATTCCCACTACAACTCCCATCATTCCCAGCCAACAGAGCCATCCTAGAGTCGATCTTCAGCTAAGTGCGTCATCAGGACTAAGTACAGTATATCAACAAGTCCACGAAGAAATTTCAACTGCACAACCACCGAGCCGTCTTTCTCAAAATTTCTCCCACCTATAAACTGCCCCTCTGATTTTGAAATCCAGTCTGCAAAGCGATTGTCCTCTTTCATCCTGTCACTCCAGAGCAATTTATTTTGCAATCGTACACATGGGACAGGACTGAAAAGGATCCCAATTTTGTCAAGGAGATGGGGGCAATTTGGTCACGCTTAGAAGACACCTACCGAAATGCACATAGTCAGTTGTTACTAACACCTCCCCATTTAATACTTCTGCTATAAACACACCTATTTTTTTTTTTTATCCAACCACACACAAGGAAACTACAATTTCAGCCTTTTATATCGGGACACTCCATTGCGTTCAATGGGGATTATTCTCAGATCAATGGGCAAAGAGATAGCAACTTCAGCATGAGATGCTTTTCAAGTTTCTTGGCCTTACCGTGAAGTTTTTTTTTTTAAGTGATTTCTTGTTAGGCACACCCAACGCAAAGGGAAAGTAGAATCAAACCCTTTAGTTTCTGAGGAGCCTGACACAATTCTTCCCAGCTTACACCTCTGGTTTTGTTTCATGCTCCTTCGCTTATCTTTATTTTCTGCGTCGTGTTACAGGCCTAATGGGTTTTTAAACTTCCCTGTACTTTGGAAAATGACATTTCTCAGGCGGCGTCTTTGGCTCTGAAAACTCCATCTTTTTGACCTACGTCCTTGTTTCACACAGCCTCCACCAGCTCCGACCAAAAGCAAAATCTTGCCCCCTAAAAGCAGACCTTCCATTGTTCCAGTAAACTCAGACTTTACCTTATACAGATGGAGAATTACATACTGAAAGAAAGCTTATCTGTTGTCATTTACATACCAAGCAGACTTTCTGTTCAGTGGCACAACTCAACATATTATCCGAACTCAACCGGAATAATGTAAATGGTTGTTTACAGGAATGGGAAAACTGAAGAAGGTGATAATAAGGTAATTAGTGAGGGCCAGCATGGCACTGATACCCAGTGGTGTAGTGCAGTATTCCCCAACCTTGGGCCTCCATATGTTCTTGGACTACAACTCCCAGAAGCCTTCACCACCACCTCTGCTGGCCAGGATTTCTGGGAGTTGAAGTCCAAGAACATCTGGAGGCCCAAGGTTGAGGACCACTGGTGTAGTGGATACAGCAATGCACTAGGTTCTCTAGATACTTGGTTTCAATTCCCTGGCTTGACCATGGAAACTCATTGGGGGTGTGGAACTGGCAAAACCACTCCTTAAATATTTCACTGACCTAGAAAACCCTATTAGGGTCACTATAAGTCAGTTCTGATACAACAGTACATAAGAAATGGAATCCAAGTCAAGATGGCCACACGGTGTCTGATATGAAGTCGCCATGTTGTGATCAGGTCTAGCACAGCTGCGCTAGTTGGGGATGATGTAAGTTGTAGTCTAACACAGGAGAGAGAAATAGGAGCATGACTGCATGGACAAGGACTGTAAAATCTGTCTGAGTTTAGAAGACCAAGGACTACCTAATTTAGAAGAATTAGGACTGAACAAGAACAGATTCTGGAAGAGAGGTGGTCAACCCCAACAGCTAGTTCCAACTAGAGTAGATCCACAGAATCAAGAGAACGTAACCTATGTGATAATTTACCAGGTTCCTAGCGAGTAGATGGGGGCCACTCGAATCAAGACTAGCAACCAGACTGAGATCAAAGAACATGGATTTGATGGTTGTTCAAGAATACATTGAACACGGATTTCTCGGTTGGTCAAAATCCACCTCAAATTTCAAGACTGCACACCATTTATCCAGCCTCCAAATGCTCACACAACAACCCTGGTCCATAAATTTGGACATGCTGCAGATTGTAGCCTTCTTCAAACCTTTATTGAGGATCCCTATTTAAAATCACGAATATATGTCCTCTTGAGTATTCCAGGTGTGGGTGGGTGCAATGGGAGTTTGGAGATTGAGGAGGTTGATGGTTTGCAGGTACAGAGAGAATCGGTTCCTCTTTTCTTCCATTTTTTCCCCAAGAACATTTTGGCACAAGCCAGCCAGCGGAGCAGTCCTGAATCCAGATCAGGTGGCAAGGACTAATCCACTCTATGCTTCCTTAAGAGCAACACAACTCACTGATTCTAAGTGGCCGGGCCACTCTGACATTAAAATTTATAAAACAAACATGTCGCCTGACCTCTCCAAGTTTACAGCTTTTATAGTTTTCCTCGGGGACACATGACAAAAGTGACAGGCAGTCCTGGGTAAAAACCAAGTGGACTATAACTTTAGATTAAGTTGGCAGGTGACACATTAGTCTTATGTATGATTTCCAAGGTGCACTGTAGGTGTGTGGGTACACAAACAGACATACGGGGTAAGGGAAGACTCTGTGGCAGAGAAAGAAGGTACCGTATTTTTCGCTCCATAAGACGCACCTTTCCATAAGGCGTACCAATTTTTTAGAAGAAAACAGGAAAATATAATCTGTTTTCTTCGCTCCATAAGACGCACAGACTTTCCACCCCCCCCTGTTTTGTGGGGAAAAAGTGTGTCTTATGGTGTGAAAAATACGGTATATCAATGTTATTTACAGCATTAAATGAACTGAAACCATTAGTTCTACTGAACCCGGAACACAGCTTAGCAAAACCTTTCCATTTTTTAAGGGCGATGTTCCTGCTCATGCAATGTAGAGGATGCTGCATTTGGTGGAGGAAATATTTCGAAACCAATGTTTGTGCGTGTGTGTGTAGCCTGACAATTTCTTTGTCAAATGTTAAGCTCTTGGCAAAAGCGCATTAAAATGCAGTCTCAGAACAGAGGTAGCGCCACTCACACTTGATTGTCAGATCTGACTAAGCGGCGGCTCTCTCGCTTGATGCGCAGACAAATACAGATACAGCTCGGCCGGCCGAACACGGGGCTCTTCCTGCGATACAGGGAGCTGTCACCCGCATGTCAAAGCCATCCAGCTACTTGCAAATGTTTCTGAAACAAAATGGAAGAAAAGGGGGGTTTGGAATGAAAGGGAAGAAGAGCTGGCGTAATTAAGAAAAAGAAGGAGCCAGTTTTGCTCGCTCGTGGGAGTGTGTGTGTTTGTGTGTGGGGGGGAGAGAGAGAGGGAAACAGAGACAGAGAGAGGAAGAGAGAGAGAGGTGCTAAAAGAAATCTGAACAGGTAATAAGCAACAGAAGTGGACATGTTTTTTCCACAAAAGGATGAAAGAGGCTGCTTTAGTGTCGGTGTTGAGGGTCTCCTCCTTACGAGTTGAAGATGGGCTCGGACGCCCTTTAAGAGTCTGCTTCAAGGAGGTACGCACAACCAACAATAAGGTTTTTTGAGTCAATTCCCTCTTTGTTGCTTTTTCTTCCAAGACAGGCAGCACGCAGACCCGCAGATTTAATCGTGCAACGAGGGAAGAATAAGGCAACAAGCAGGCTTGCCCCTAAGACAGGGAGAATGGATGGAATTCACTCAGACAAGATGGTGATGATAGATACCAGCTTAAAGGTAAAGGTAAAGGTTCCCCTTGACAATTTTTGTCCAGTCGTGTTCGACTATAGGGGGCGGTGCTCATCCCCGTTTCCAAGCCATAGAGCCAGCGTTTTGTCCAAAGACAATCTTCCGTGGTCACATGGCCAGTGCGACTTAGACACGGAACGCTGTTACCTTCCCACCAAGGTGGTTCCTATTGATCTACTTGCATTTTTACATGCTTTCAAATTGCTAGGTTGGTAGGAGCTGGGACAAGCGACAGGAGCTCACTCCGTCGGGTGGATTCGATCTTATGACTGCTGGTCTTCTGACTCTGCAGCACAGGCTTCTGCGGTTTAGCCCGCAGCGCCACCACGTCCCCAGATATCAGCTTGGACAGATCCAAAAGATGGGAAGGGGTGTTCTTAGAATAGTGGTTGCCAACCTTGGGTCCCCAGATGGTCTTGGACTACAGCTCCCAGAAAACCTGGCCTGCACCACTAGTGAAGGCTTCTGGGAGTTATAGTCCAAGAACATCTGGGGACCCAAGGCTGGGAAGCACAGTCTTAGAAAGTGGGTTCCATTAACACCTGATAGACACGTTTAGGGATATGGTGGTGCTGTGGGTTAAACCGCAGAAGCCTCTGGGCTACAAGGTCAGAAGACCAGCCGTCGTTAGATTGAACCCACACGAAAGAGTGAGCTCCCATCGCTTGTCCCAGCTCCTGCCGACCTAAAAAAATCTTCTGCCCTCTAATGGACATCCATCCATCCGAATAGTGGTTGCCAACCTTGGGTCCCCAGATGGTCTTGGACTACAGCTCCCAGAAAACCTGGCCTGCACCACTAGTGAAGGCTTCTGGGAGTTATAGTCCAAGAACATCTGGGGACCCAAGGCTGGGAAGCACAGTCTTAGAAAGTGGGTTCCGTTAACACCTGGTAGACACATTTAGGGATGTGGTGGTGCTGTGGGTTAAACCGCAGAAGCCTCTGGGCTGCAAGGTCAGAAGACCAGCCGTCGTAAGATCGAACCCCCACGAAAGAGTGAGCTCCCATCGCTTGTCCCAGCTCCTGCCGACCTAAAAAAATCTTCTGCCCTCTAAT